AGCCTCATCTTTCTCCCGCGGAGCGGCTGGTAGTTTAGAACTGTTGACCCTGAGATTAGCAGCCCAATTCGTAACCACTATGCTACCAGGGAATAGTTGGTGGTAATCCCTAGAGACCCTCCATTACCTCACTTCCCCAGGGACCCCGCCCCCTCCCTCTCCCTCCTCCCGCGCGGGGCAGGGCAGGCGGGGCGGGGTGCGGCGCGCGTGCGCGGGGGCAGCCCCCACCCTTCCCCGCTCGCTAGCTCGCTCGCTCCCTCCCTCCCTCGCAGCTCCGGCGGGTAACGGCTCTGGCCCCGCGCGTCCCGGCTGGAGGCAACGCCGCCCCGCCTTTTCGGGCCCCGGGCCCGCAGCTTAGCGCCGGATCGACCTCTGGCCCCGGACGAGCAGACAGACCAGCGTGCGAGCGTCCGTGCGCTCCGAGCAAGCCCTGCGCCGAACCACCGCCGCCTCCCCGCCCCGCCACTACTACGCGCTCCCCTCCCCCCGCGCGCCTCCCCCCGCCCCTTCCCCACTTCCCCCGCGGCTTTCCGCGCAAGCCCGGCCCCCCGCGCGCGAGCCTATTGGCTGCTGCCGCCGCGCGCAGGTCAGGCCCCGCCGTGTCCGCCCCTATTGGTTGCCCCGGGGGAACGTCAGTCATATGCAAATGAGAGCAGGGCGGGGCGGACTCCGGTTGGCCTCGAGCCGGCCGGGGGCGGAACCACGAGAGGAGGGTGGTAGGGAGGGCGCACTGCAGTAAAGGCTCTGAGCCAGGGGGGGCGGTTCGGGACAACGCGTTGCGGAGGCTCGAGGTTGTGTAGCGAGGAACACGCGTGGCTCGGTCCACCTCCCTCATGCCCGCTTGGGCGTGCACGGGCCCCGCAGCACAGACAACGGCATGATGGGTTGGGCCATCCGTCCCTTAACCCTCACCAACTATCACACCAACACAATCACACACCTTATCTTCATCCCTCATCCTCGGATTTAACCAACCACTGAAGGAAATCCCCTCGATGTCAAAGAGGGATGGTAAAGTGCAATTTACACTAAGTCAGGTATTACAACGATAACAACAGAGATGATTTAAAGTATGTATAAGGATAGGGATATTATATGTAAATATTACAACATTTTATATAAAGGACTTTAGTTTTCCAGGATTTTGGATCCGTGGGGGGTCCTGTAACCAATCCCCCAGTGGGTTGTTGTTGTTGTTAAATACCATCCAGTCATTTCTGACGCATAGTGACCCTGTATAGGGTTTTTTGAGGAGCAGCTGCTGAGCTTTAACTGCCAACCTTGCAGTTCAAATGTTTTTGCAGTCTGGTGCAAGTATACTTTTCATGTCACACTCCACAGTCTTACACTCACACTGCTACGCACAAAATCCCCATTCTCACACATAAGTTCACATGTGTATATCACTGTATACCATCCTACATTCATTCTCACCACATTACACACTGCATGTACACTGTCATACATGCCCATCAACACAGACACTCATCACATATACATCAACTCATGTGAATCATCAAACACACCACATAGCAAACAGGCAGAATCAGCTCACACACATCACAGCCACTGCCACCCCACCACACATACATCCCACATGCCTCCCACACAACCACACACACAATCTTCTTTCTTTACATTCAAATCCAGCCTTCCTGACACATAGTACCCACAAGAACCCCTAATACACAGTAATGCGCAGACACATCATCTAATGGACCCCACACACTACAAACTTACTCACCCAAGCCCCATCTACTTCCAGGCCTTATCTACTTTGGTACCCAAGCCCATGATCTATTGTCTTTCAGCTACCCTATGCACTAACACTGAAAACCACCTGGGATCCTTCACCTAGCTACACCACCATGGCCACATCTCTAGGCTGGGAGGTGACACTCCCTACTGCCCCTGAAAAAGGTCAAGAGGAAGGAAAGAAAAGAAACACTTATGGGGCTACTTTGTGTGTGCTGGATACTGGTATTCCCTGGACCCCACAGAAACCAGGGGGAGGTCCCTTTTGTCATGCCAATTGTTCAGAAGAGAAAATGAGGCTCCCAGGTCATTCAGCTAGGATAGAACAGCCCAGTATGCCAACTCAAGTGCTCACTATAACTTCAGGGTGGGCACAGGCAAGGATGCCCACACATTGGGTCAGGAATAAGGGCAGACAAATGATAGAAACTGGCCAACTATAGAAAGGTCAAGAGACACATATTCCCAGAGACACAGGTCTGGGGCCCAGCAAACAAAGATACAGATGGCCTGGCAGGAGTCCTGGGCAATCCTAGAGTAAAGGCTGAGGCTGAGGGTCATACCTGGGCAGGTAAAGTAAAACAGGTACAGATGGACCAAGACTTGGGTTCCTATCTAGGTAGGGTCCAGGGCAGGAGTAGATAACCCAAACTTGTCACATCCAATCTTGGAGCTCAAGGCAAGGAGGGGAGGCAAAAACTGAACTCTGCTGGGGGATGGGCAGGGAGGACACAAAGAACTGTAGCCTGCTGACCTCCAGAGACAGCAGGGCCAGACACTTGGCTGTGAGCCTGGAGGGTCCACCCAAGGGATTATTAGGTGACTGCCCCCTCCTCCCTATGCAACCCCAGACTCAGACCCTCCATTACCTCACTTCCCCAGGGACCCCAGAGACTGCAATGTGAGGCTAAAATCAATGGATGTGGTCCTCTATCTCCCCACCGGTGAGTCACCTCCTGGCAAATTAACCCCTTCCCCACTGCAATGCAGCCCAGGATCTGAGTGCAAAGGGGGCCTGTCCCCAACTCCCCTACTTTGTCTGAATGAGCCAGACCAGGCAAAACAGCAGAGAGGGCCCCACATCTGGAAGGGTAGCACATCTGGTAAGCGACACAGTGCCCAAGGAGGAGGGCTGGGAAGAGGCCCCTTTCAGGGCAGGGTACAGTGGAGTGGGGGCCCAGCTTGGCAGGGAGGGGCGAGGATCCGGGCGGGAAAGGGCCCCCCTGCCCTGGGCACTGGGCCAGCCCTATACTTAGCTTCCATTGTTCGGGATTGAGGAACCCTGGGTGGGGGTGATTAGGAGTGGAGGGGACAGTCTCTCTCCAGTCATCCCCCACCCTAACTGGAGCCTCTGTAGTTGGAAAAACCTAAGGGGGTTCCCCAAACCAAGGTCCCACCCACCAGGTACCGGCAACCTCACCAACTCCACAAAAGGAATGGCTCAAAACATCCCCCAGCACACTGTATCACCCCACCCAGGCCAGGGGACAGACAGCCACTGGGGCCAAACAGGCTAAGACCTGCCCAGAGGCCCAGGGTGTGCAGCGAGGAACAGACCGCTGACAGACTAAGGGACAGGCAGACAAGCTGTGAACTCGCCATGGCCCGTTTATTGAGCCCGGGAGGCACCGCGCCCCTACCACCCGCTGGTTCCCCACCACTCTGCTCTCCAGGGCCAGTCCCGCCTTGGCTCCCCACCCCGGTGTCCCCAGCTCCCCTCACCCTCTCTCCACATACACACCCACCCACCCAGGGCGGGCGGCGTCGGCGAAGGCCAGGGTTGCCAGGGGAACAAGCCCAGGATTGGGCTGGCGCGGCTTAGGAGGGATGGGGGCTAAAAATAGCGCTGGGGTGAGTCAGTGTGAGTGGGGCTGGGGTAGGCTAGAGGACCTAGAGGAAAAGAGAGGCAGGGGCGAAGTGTCGGGGAGGGATAGAGAGATGGGCGGGATTGGGGCGTAGGACAAGGATGAGAGCTTGAAGGTAGAAAGGTGCTCAGGGAGGGAGGGAGGGACTGGACGGCGATGGGGGTAGATTAAGGTCTAGTCTGAGAGAACTCAAGGAGGTCTGAGACCCTAACGGAGGAGGGGGCGCCGCCCTGTGCTCCCCTGCCCTCCAGGCGCTCACGAGATTTTCCACTCGCTGCCTGGCCCCTAGCCAGACCCCACTGGGCCCCACAAAGCCTCTTTGTGCTAGGAGGGCAGGCGGGAGCCCGGCCGGCCTGACACCCACGCGGACCGCGGTGGGCCGCAGGCCAGCTGGCACCCGAGCTGTCTGCAGGGGTGGGGGGTACCCAGCCCCAGGGCGCGGCCACGCAGGGGTTAATGGCGCAGAAACGGGAGCAAGTCTCCGCCAATCGGCAGTCGGTAAGCGCCATGGTGGCCAATGAGATGGTTGAAGGCCTAACTCCGGGGGTGGGGGTGGGGGTGCCACCCCCAGGGGCGCGGGAATCGGTACCTCTAGGTGCTGAAGGGGGCTGGGCGCGACCCTCATAGGGTACCTATTCCGAACTACAAAGTCCCCGGTGCACCCAGTTTTCCAGACGACTACACAAGTAGGTTCAGAGGGGCGTAGGGTCTTGCCATCAGGAGGCGGTACCATCAGGACTTGAATCCAGGTCTATCTGCTTTTACAGCTTTCCATCTAAATGTGGGGTGGGGGTCCCTAGCCTGAGCCCCCGTGGGGAGCAGGAACTGGGGATGGGGCGCAGGCGGAGGAGGCGGCAAGGCGGGCTAGGGTCCAGCCGCCTGCGGTGCAGCCGCTGCCGCCGGTGGTAATGGGAGCCAGACGCCGTCGCCGCCGCTAATGCGCCTCCCTCCCGGCCGCTAATGGAGTCATTAATGCTGGGGCGCCGAGCCGCACACACACTCCCACCCCGTCTGGCAGACGTGCGCCTCCCGCCACCTCCCGTCACCGCCAGGAGGCAGCGTGACCTCTCCCAGCGTCTGGTACTGGGGGCTGCCAAGCTGAAGGAGCTGAGGTCTTCCACAAAGTTACCAAGTCTGACACCTGCATTGTCACAGTCGCCT